AAAGAAAGAAAGAAAGAAAGAAAGAAAGAAAGAAAGAAAGAAAGAAAAGAAGAAAGAAAATTAAAAAAGAAAACTACCTTTTATAGTTTTTTAAATATAGGATTAATCATTTTCTATAGCTATCAATTATTCTAATTAGCAGGTCTATTATTTAATCATCCCCACCTTGTTATTCTTTTCATTCTCATACTTGATTCTTGGCTACCTGAGAAAATAGAAGTTTCAGGCCTTGTGAATATACATGTGAATTCCACCTATTTTTAGTTGAAAAATCCTCTTCAATATTTTTGTATGCTAGCAACTTGGTTCAGATAGAGCTTATATTCCCTGCATAATCCAATAAAAATAGCTTATGTGTGTTTAAAGTGCTTTATACATATTAATATTCTTACCAATACATTTGATCCTCCAAGTCCAGAAACATATTTGGAAAGTTTATGTGACTTACATAAGAGGCATCCACTTACCCACAGTCCTGACTCTAGAGCTCTGTACCTTCTAATGAGAAGAACCCTAGTAGAAACATATGTAGTAATATCTAGAGAAGCATAAATAAGTAAACTAAAACCTTGGGAACTATAGAAAGACAAAAATACACATCTGTACAAATAGCTTAGAATTAAGAAATGTTCCCAAGGCTGCTGCTGACTTCTAGGAAACAAATTCCTGAAGAGTTTAAAGGTTGCCCTACTCTCGTGGACAAATTAGTCTCTAAAGTTTCTGAGCCTTGACTTCTTACCTATATAAGGAACTTAATAACTGATATATCTAAATCTTCTTCAGTAGGCCTCCATTTTATTAAATCCAGATCTTCCTGAGCAACATGGAATTCTATGTAGTCTTCCATTTAATTACCAGCATAAAGTATTGTCCTTATGCCATTTGGTATCATAATTCCATTTCACTGGAAAATGAACAAAATCGAATTCAATTTTAGAACTATAATCAAAACATGCATTATCGAAAAACTTACATATAATATGAAAAAAACACACAAAAACTCCGTGTTTGTTTTTAAGATGCCAAAAGAAAACTGAGGTTATTTTTATAAAGAATATGATTTTTTTAATGAAGAAAAATTAGGATGAAGAGACATACACAGAAATAGATTCACACTATGGATTTTGATGACAAATCTCTCTCTCTCTCTCTCTCTCTCTCTCTCTCTTTCTCTATCTTTCTTTCTCTCCTAATTTTCCATAAGAACCAGGAGCGCAGAGTTGATGATAATTCACAGCTCATGGCCACACTAATCACTGGATTGTGAAAAGGACAAAAGGTAGTTGAATTCATTTATAAAAGAGAACATGTACAAAAGAGAGAAGAAAGGGGCGTGGCCAACAACAAATATGTAAGAATGGCTAAAAAGTATAAGAATGATTTTTAAAAGGCCAATAACCATAATGCAGTGAGGCTTGCCAAAAATTCTAAAGACACGCAAAATAGGGTTTTGAAGTTATGTTCAGAGAAAATGAGCATGTTGCTTCAGAGTAACATTTTTATAACACATGACAAAGAAAAGGCCATACCACTCAACTTTTATTTTATTTCCATCTTCTCTGTCAAGGATAGCAAAAATAATGTTGGTGAGAGGAAATTGAAACCCAAGAAATGTAAGATTGTAAGAAAGCAATTCTTTTTCTAAATGACTTCATCTCTTTTCTCCCAGACGAATTATAACCCAGGTTAAAAAAGGAACTTTCAAATAAAATGTCGCATACCATTGAACTATTTCTTGAGGCATTGTTAATAATCAGAGATAACCAAAATACTAGAGCAGGGGAAAAATGTTATAATTTCTTTTTAAATTAAAAATCAAGGACTGAGCCATAAAAAAGAATGAAATCTTGCCATTTGCAACATGGATGTATCTAGAGGATATAATGCTAAATGAAATCAGAGAAAGAAAAATATCATATGATTTCACTCATGTGTGGAATCTAAAAACAAAACAAAACACTTAAAATAGTGAACTGGTGGTTGCCTGGGGGAGGTGAGCGGTGGGATGGGTGAAGCAATGAAAGGGATTATGAGTACTCTTATCAGGGGCACCTGGGTGGCCCAGTCAGTTAAGCATTGGACTATTGATTTCTGCTCAGGTCATGATCTCAGGATTTGTGAGATTAAGCCATGTGTCAGGCTCTGTGCTAATAGTGCTGAGCCTGCTTGGGATTCTCTCTCTCTCTCTCTCTCTCTCTCTCTCTCTCTCTCCCTCCCCCCCATCTCCCTCTCTCCTTAACAAAAAATAAATAAACATTTTTAAAAAGGTACAGCTATGGTAAACATTGAGTGATGTATAGAATTGTTAAATCATTATATTGTGCACCTGACACTAATATAATGCTCTATGTTAATTATACTTAAATAAAAATATAAGAAGTTAAAAAAATAAAGAACACTTGAAAAAAAAATCCAAGAATTCTATACTATACTGGAGAGTGAAATTAATTCCATAGAAAATCTTAGAAATTATTATTAAAATATGGTTTATTAACAATTGGAAACAAATGTTCAGTAGGAAGTAACATGAGTTCACTAAACGTAAATCATGCATGTCTTATCTCGTTTTTTTGTTGACAGATTTAGCCCATTTATGTAGCAGGTGATTTCTAGACACATATTCCAATTTGGGCAAATTATCAATTAGATACAATCTTGGATGATATATTCATCAACAAGAGAAAAATCACTCAATTCCATTATAATTTTCTAATGGTTTCGATGGGTTGTATTAAAAATACATTATACAGCTCTTTCCGTTTCTAGTTGCTGTAGGGAAAGAGGCTGCCGCCATGTCGGCCCACCTGCAATGGATGGTCATGCAGAACCGCTCCAGCTTCCTGATCAAGGGCAACAAGCAGATGTACAACCCTTTGCCCAATAACCTGAAGGCACGCAACTCGTTCTTCTACGATGGGATGATTAACCACAAGACTGTGGGCGTGGAGCCCGCAGCCGGCCAACTGCAAAGGGGTGGTTGTGGTCATTATGCAGAGATCTGGCCAGCGAAAACCTGCCACCTCCTACATGCAGACCAACAAGAATGCCCAGGCCACTCTCAGCAGCATCCGTCACAAGAAGAACAAGAACATTGCTGCTATTCACAGAACCAGAGCCATCCTGCGCAGCCAGAAGCCTGTGATGGTGAAAAGGAGGCACACCAGCACCACCAAAAGTTCCTGAACGCCTGCCTCCACTTCCAGAGCAATAGACGTCAACCACCTCCGCGGGGGGGCGGGGGGGGGGTAGTTATAATATATATAGATATATTATATATAATTATATATTATATATTATTATATTATATATTATATAATTATATTATATATTATTATATAATATATAATTATATAATATATATTATATATATAATCTGAAATGACATTTTTAGTGGAACAGGGTTCTGTTCTAGGTTCCATTCTCATCAAATGCATCTAAGAAAAATATTGCATAAGTCTGGATTGAGCAGAGAAAAGCAGTGGTGGCTAGAGGCCATGATAATATACCTCAATGATCAACTACAAGTCTAATTGACCAGGGTCTGAAATCCAAATGTGTGTTTGTGCCGAAGGTACGTCTCCCAAGGGCAGCTTATAATTAACCATGGAACCTGGTAGGGATCCTGAAGCAAGAATGTTACTGGAAAATGTGGGACTCCCTGACAGGTGATTTTGGCTTAAGGGCTCCCCCATGGCCTTGCTGAACCTTCCTCATAATCCAGGATTGGATCTCCAATCAGATTGAGGGAAAACTTACTCAGTTAGGCACCTAGAGCATACACATGGATCACTGGATTTCAGGTGTCAGCTACAAAAAAAAAAAAAAAAAAAAAAAAATCATAATTGGAACTCTAGATTCTAAGTTTGATGTAATTCCAAGATCTATTCAATGGGAAGTGATAATAATACCGTAAGTGTAACTTCCTCAGAATCGTAGGGCATCAGTAGATTCAAATAGGAAAAACAAAAGCTAACAAATGAGGAAGATTTCAACATCTTTGAGATTGTATTAGTCTAAGAGTAGTTTATATTTCTTTAAAAGAAATCAATTTGTAAGTAAAATAGGGTCACAGGAAATACATAAAAATAGTTTGGTAGTGCTTTTTAAAAGAAAAATTTTTAATGTTTACTTATTTTTGAGAGAGATAGAGAGAGACCAACTGCAAGCAAAGGAGGGGAAGAGAGAGAGGGAGACATAGAATCCGAAGCAGGCTCTAGGCTCTGAGCTGTCAGCACAGAGTCCAACACGGGGCTAGAACTCACAAACCGAGATCATGACCTGAGCTGAAGCTGGACACTCAACCAACTGAGCCACCTGGGTGCCCCAGTTTGTAGTGCTTTTGAGACAACACATGCCCACATACATATACACTCCACTGATCTAAAGAATCTAGCCTTTCTTTCTTCCATCAGGAAACCTCAAGTTTCCCTTCCACTTCCTCTCCTGTGCTGGGTGTACTGGATGGCTCCTTCTGTTGCAGGCCACCCTTCTTGATGTGTGTTAGTGTGGCTCACCACCTGGTCTGTAGAGGTCTTTATCTTAATTTTTAACCATCCTGGTAGAATGTGACTTTCCATTATTTAAGTTTTTAGGAAAGACCAAAAGATACGCTTTTTTTTCTCATTCACAGATATCCCTAGTGGGCTTGACCTGCCAGCTCTACAGATGTATATGGATAGCCCTGAATGCAGTTTAAGCTCTCAGGCTAGGAGCCAGACAAGGTAATAAAAGAGATATTCAAAGACGAACTGCTCAGCAGGCATTTGAAAATACTAGATTGGAATTCAGGAGAAACTATACCAATGGATATAGATTTAAGGATTGTCTGCATTAAAACAACAACTGAAGAATCAGAAGAGATCCATTTAATGAGGGAAGAAGTGTAGAGAGAACAAAGGGCCAAGACTGAATCTTAGAAAATGCCAATGTGACCTGGGTTTGGGGACCTATTTGAGCCTCTCTACAGGTCAGCCCTTAGACCTTTCCATGGTCTCTACTAGCTCTCTGTGTACTTTATTTCTTTCTGTCTGTCTTTGCAGAAGCTCCTACAAACTCAGCCTTCTCCATTTGACAGTTTCTAGCACCATTCCAACTTGAGATTCTGTTCATGTCAGCTACACGGTAGCATAGTCTCCCCAACTTCCCTGACTTCTTTTGAAAATTATCTAGACTCTTCTCTCCTCAGGGTCTTTCTTAGTAGCCTATATAATAAAGCACAAACATACACAGAAATACACACAACAGAACATGTGCAAATATGCACACATGAGGGAAATCAAAAATAAAAAAAAACAAGAAATACAAACCGTTAAATGTAGTTTTTAATCTCTAATTGAACAAGTAGGGGTAAATGGATACCTGATTGTCTCCATTTAGTCCTGTGTTCTCATTTCCCCACAGATAAGAGCCCATTACAGTTTCCTTCTTGCCTCATTCATTGTCTTAACCCCTCTTTAGGAGACACCATTTCAGAAGTTCTCTTAGGCTTAGCACAGTAATTTTCAAACTCTCTTATCCATGACCCATAGTAAGAAATACACTTTATATCATCGCTCAGCAAACACTTAGCTGAGTGTGTGTACATGTGTTTGAAATAATAATTCCTATCCTTACTGCAACAAATGATATTTTTCTTCTACTTTTTTCCCCCCTGTTGTTGGTTATTACCTACTAAACTAATCCCATGACCATCTATTGAACCTAGAGGAGAGCCATGTTTTGAAAAATCCTGATTCAGAGACAACAATCATGCACGCAGATAAAACACATGGAGAAGTAAAAATGTTCCCTTTCTCTCAAAGGGGTCATTTGCATTTCCCTAGACCCAGCAGCCCTCATCCACAAGTCTTCTGCTCAGTTTGGCATTTTCCTGTATTTGCTCATATTTTCAGCATTTTCCCACAT